CACACACGCACACACACACACACAAACTTATTTGATTTTAATAAAGGTATTTTGTACTCTTACCAATTGTTCCAGGGCTGATACGAATTCCACTCAAACGATCGCAAAAGATTCCCTCTGAGGCTCTAAGGACAATCAGAAGCTTTTGTTCCTTTTCTAAGGGATTTTCTAAAGTACCTGTTTACAAAGAAAAGAATATAACACAAAATAATCAGAAAGTAAAGAGCGAGTACAAAGTGATGCTACAAAGGAAGCTGCACGGAGAACAGCCCACGGAGCCACGCAGGCCGAATGGGCAGGGGGCAAATGCGATTCAGTAGACCTCTCAGGAGACTGGACTGTTATTCAACATTCACTGGTCTTTCTTCATTAGGTCATATACTTTCCTAGCTTAGTAATACCTATCCTGATCACACGAATTATTTCAGCTAAATAAATTTGGGTAGGAGTGATTGTAATACCGGTTCTCAATTGCTGTTTTAAGAGACTTGGTAGGTTTTAGCAGGGCCTTGCAATGACCTTCTCTGGCAAGAAAGCTACCAGGGTCTGAAAAAATGAGATTCAGAACAGACCTGAACAGAAAACAAAAGCTAGCGTGAAGCCCGACCAAGTCTAGCACAATATTTGTTTGCACAAACTAACGAGATTCAATCTCACATATCACATGGCGTTATTACAGTAGGACTCGGCTGATGAGCCAGCTATGGCTATGTGATGCACAAATTCCTCCACATGCACTTTAACATTTGACCCGCACCACAGACCCGAGAAGTAGGTCCTCGACCACCTGTGCATACTCACCCCTGAGGAGGCTCAGAATGTAAGCGACGTACCCAGAAGCATCTGACCATGAGGTAACAAACTCTATTTGAGCAATGATCTATCTGTGTTTCTGACTAAGCCAGTAATGAAGTTATTTTATATAAATTCACTTCTAGTTTAAAGACACATAAAGGCAGAAGGCGATGATACTTAGTAGATGGGGAATTACTTCTGATCTTATCCTACTGATATAAACACAATGACTGGTCACTTTTATAATATGAGAACTGTCCAGGGAACTTGCTAAAATGGTGTTGGCAATACAGACCTAGGAAGGCGATATTCAGAACATACTATCAATTTAGTTGTTTAGGAAATAACTTTTAGCAAGCAGTCTCCAAACTCTGTAGTGGATCAGTCAGGTACCCAAACAGCTGTCTGCTACCAAGTTAGACTTTCTAGTCTAGAAATTTCCTGAGAACATAACCAACAATGAGTTTGCAATTATGTCTGAAAAACACAGACGAACTTAAAATTATCTATTTGTTCTTTTGGTTAGTAGGTCTTTCGGGCAATGTAAACTAGTCCCTCCCACAGGCAGTTCACATCTACCTGGTCAGCCAGAAGATGCCTGTGCAGGTGAGTTGGAGCTCTCTGCACCCTCTTTCAGTCCAGCCTTCATACACTTAATTTAGAAAAATTATTGAAAGTAAAAACGCAGAGGTAAGCAAGTCTGCACAGAGGTGCTGCAGGCCAAGCAGGAGCAAGAATTAGAACCCACAGCCTTCATGTTCCCAATATGGCACTAAGGTATGCTGCTGGTAACACCAGCCCTCAGCGGAGCACCCTCTCAGTCCAAACAAAGATGCCACACGCAAGAAGAAGGGAAGCGGGGAGGGGAGCAGAATGTTAAGCAAAGTGCATGGGTGGCTCTTATCTTGCGGTTATAAGTCTGTCCAATAAGCTGTTTTCCAACTGTGATTTCATTTATTTCACGGAGGGTAGTTGAAAGTCTTGGGGGAAAATGGCCCAGTACTAAACAGATACCAGAGTGAAAAAAGTAGGACAGTTTTTGCCCTAGAGAAATGTATGCAGAGTCCTACAAAAAGAGTTCAGCATTTCTCTAAAATCAGAGATTAAATCAATTATGCAACCCAAAACTGCAGCACATGTGGTGCTTTCCCAGAAAGCCTGCACGAAATTAGTCAGCCTGCCATGATTTTTGGTATCTGAAGTGACCGGAGTTTGAGGTCTTTTTTGTCAACTTGGGGGAAGGGAAGGAAAGAGAGGAGGATAGGGACTAGGTAGAAACAATGCAAGGGCAAAAGAAGGGGACTTGCTGTTCTCACAGGAAAATGCGGTGCTTCTGGTATCTATAAAAGCTGGTGAACGCAAAGCTTTAAAGGTGAGATACTTAGAAAAAATAGATTCTTAAACTTGGCAATTAAAGAAAGCTGGCTTTGTCCTGTGTGCAAGTAACCACCTTGACAGAAAAGATGCTCAGGGTAAGGGAGTTTGTCCTTGGCTTGCCTTCGAAAATCATGATAGCAAGAAGCACATAAGCCCTTGAGGAATTTATGAATCATAATGGCAAGGGAAATAATTGTCATTTTTCTGCAAAGATATTCCATATGTTTTCGCAGGCATGACTTCGCCTAGCTTTCACTGGTCTTTGATGACCATTGTAGAAGTTCTCTTGAGGAAACTGAGGCAAAGAGACGTTAAGCAACTTGTCAGGAATTACACAGCTATTACGTGGCGAATTTGGGCCTTGAACTTAATAAGTATCATTCTAGGCCACAAGGATGCAGGGGAATAGGACGAAAGCGAAGCAAAGTTGATAGCACGCAGCAGGATGTTGGCTAATAGAGCGAAAAGAGAATGGGTTCCAGATGCTCAAACCACCTGGGGAGATGCAGAAAACTAGCTCTGGCTAGGAAAGACAACCATTACAAGGACTTGGAGAATACGGCACAAATGGATTCCTTGGACTTCAAAGGTAAGACAAAGCAAGGGACCCTCTGTAATTTTATTAACTGAACTTCTTTGATGGAATAAATACAAACCTACCTTATGCTTGAGCCCACCCCCCCACGTGACTCCCCACACTCTGAACTCAGCCAGACCCTGTTAGCAAGTCACCCATCTCTGAGCTCGCTCTGCCCACAGGAAAGCCCTGGGCCTTCTTCATCCTCCCTGACTAAATCTCCCTTCAGCCCTTGGCTCCATTCTCACCGATTTCTAAAAGCCCTCTGTGACCGTGAATTAGATGCCCCCTTTGTGAATAAAAATGCAGGTGCCCCCGGGGCAGTCATCCTGCTTCAAGGAATTTGTCCTTAGGAGCTAGTGTGGAAGATGGACCAAGATCCTTCCCATTGCCTTTATTTATAAGCGCAAACATTTCACAATTCTTTGAAAGGCCCATCAGTTGGATACTCTTCATTCCTGGAGAACTTCTGCCAGTCTCCCAGGCATTTCCAACGTGTTCAGTCGCTGGGCCACAGAACCCCACAGGTCTCTATGATTCCCTTTTCTTTCAGACTTCTATTAATCATCAAAACCAGCTTCGAGGCCACCTCTTTTCAAGCCTCTCCTTGTCTCCTCAGCATCTCCTCAGCAGCTACCACAGCACATCTTTTCTTTTGGTGAACAGGGAGAAGAAATGGTACGCTGCCAATAGAGTTCATATATATATATATATATCAAAGAAATGGTGAACTAGTTCATTTTAACTAACTCTATTGTAGAAAACAATTAGAAATCTAGAGAAACACTCTATAGTAATAAAAACAATTAGCTTATCTGTAAATTAGCACAGTTTTCAGTATTATGTACCTAGCATCATGGATTCAGAATATATGGAGCGAAAATCGAGAAAAATATAAGAAAATATAGATATACTATAATAACAACCACAAAGTTAACAAAGCTTTCATAAAATAAGAAAATACAAAAGATACAGAAGTTTTGAATAACACACTTAACTTGGCATGATAGAGATAAAAAAAAAACTAGACTTGCTACAAAGAACACATGCTCTTTTTAAGCATGAATAATACATTTATAAAAACTGATTATATATTGACCATAAAGCAAAATTAACAAATTTAAAAGGATTGGAATTATATAGCGCGTACTTTCTGGCCCTAATACAATTCAAATGTACAGTTCAAGATGGAAAGTTTATAAAGTGGGGTATATTAAAATTAATATTTTCCAGTCATTGAATAATGCTATGAAATTATAGAGACTAAGATTATTATAACTACAATTATTGTCATCGATTTCTAAAAGCCCTCGGTGACCGTGAATTAGATGCCCCTTTTGTGGCAGTCATCCTGTTTCAAGGAATTTGTCCTAAGGAGCTGGCATGGTTTACAGATAAGCTAAGTGTTTTGATTACTATAGGGTGTTTCTCTAGATTTCTAATTGTTTTCTGCAACAGAGTTAGTTAAAATGAACTATAGGGACTGAAAAAACAGGCCCTACAGTGGACAAAGACATTTGTAGCTTGTATAATCAACAGAAGGTATAACTTAAAATGCATAAGGACTTCAACAAATCAGTGATACAGAAAGAATCTTTCATTAAAAAGAATTAAA